CTGCCAAAATCTATTATGTGGTACACAAGGTGTCATCTCCGCATACAATACCCTGAATCCGCAATCACATGTCTCTCCACTATCATTCTTCCAGTGGCGGGGACCAGTAATTGCTTGCTGCTATATAGTGTTCTCCTGACTGATTTTATTACTGTCCCCATCATTACACTGCCAGTCCATAGGGACTAAAAGACCCAGTGCATTGTGTTTTGCTTTCAAGCTGAAATTAATCTAATCAGGGTGATGCTGTGCTGTATTTAAAGCAAACTAAATGTAAAAGTTAAAAAAGTGAACCCAGTTAATGGATTTCATCAGCAGTCAATAGTCAGTGTGAGGGGAAAAAGTGTTTTTAATACCTGGAGATACACTGAGATCCAGCAAGTTTCTCATTTGCTCATTCATAGGTAGTGATTTGGTTTCAAATGAGCCATGAGATGCAGAAAATGTTTTTTATTCTTCATTATCCAGAAGTGGTAGTCTGATGAACTTCATTGTACATAAACAGCCCAAATCCGTTTTATTCTTTGCTTTAACCCAAGTTTTTTACATTACTAGCAAAAGTTATAAACCGTCAGTGGCCATTACATGGTGATGGTCAGTGGAGAAGTTCAAGGTAAAGTGGTGGACAATAGGGTAGCATATGATTGTAGTGGCAGTGAGTGCAGGAGTGCACCCCTGTGATGGCAGTCAGCAGAGAAGTACATTAGGACAATGGCAGTCAGAAGTACAGTACTTTAGTACTTGTATATTTTAGCTGAACAACAATATATATATATATATATATATATATATATATATATAAATATCCCTTCACTGGCTTCCACTAACCCAGCATATAAAATTCAAAATACTAACCACAGCTTACAAAGCCATCCACAACACTGCCCCTAGCTACATCACCAACCTCATCCACAGATACCACCCAAATCGCCCACTCCGCTCCTCCCATGATATCCTCCTCTCTAGCTCCCTCATCACCTCCTCCCACGCTTGCCTCCAGGACTTCTCCAGAGCCTCTCCCATCCTCCTCTGGAACTCCCTACCACAGCATGTTCGGTCAGCCCCCACCCTGTCTGTCTTTAGGCGATCTTTGAAAACTTACTTCTTCAGGGAAGCCTACCCCACCTCCACCTAAGAACAGTACTTGAATCACCTCCGCCAGATCATCCCCCACAGCTATCACCGTTTGTACCACCTCCCCCTTCCTTTAGAGTGTAAGCTCCATGATCAGGGCCCTCCTATTCCTTCTGTACTGAAATGTATTGTAATTGTACTGTCTCCCTTATATTGTAAAACGCTGCGCAAACTGTTGGCGCTATATAAATCCTGTATAATAATAAAAAAACCTGCGCTTAAGAAAATTGTAATATATGATAAATGATAAAGTGTAAACATATAGCAGCTGAACACTAGAAACCCTGATACCAGGCAGTAAACAATATATACATAAAGTGCAGCACTTAATAAAGTAACAAATGATTAGTGGAAAAAAACAGAAAATGGAAAAAAAACGGAAAAACGGAAAATGTGTCATACAAAAAATAGTCCATCACAAAATTCAGATAAAGAAAAAGTCCTCAGAGGAAGAAGATGAAACAAAGGAAATCCAAGGACAGCTGTTGTGTCACCAACCACTCATATGGAAGGCGTACCAGAAAGGTGTGACCCCCTGTTAAGAGTGGGCAATCACGCTTTGTTGTAAACAACCAAGAAAGCTGGACAACCGGATCCTCCTCCAGATCACCAAGAGAACAAGTAAAGATCCTCTAAGCAATGGACCCAAATTAGGGTAACTACACCACTCCGAAAAAGGTTCAGACTCGTGGTAAGAAACATGTAAAAAAAGAGTGCTCCACATAGTGTAAAACCATTAAGACAACATTTATTTGAAGTATGGTTGCTCTCACATAAAAACGGACATCATTGAGCTTTGATAGACAAAATTTAAAATTTTTCCAGTTTCCAAAATGGCCACCGGCCAGTCACACATGTGCAGTAGCATGTGTGTGTGGCTCCACCCTATGCATTTCGTCACTTCCGGGTCCAGGAACATCCAAGCAGAGTGGGAACGAAGCTTGGAGGACACGGTGGCCATTTTAGAATTTTACAAGCTGGAAACACTGGTGCCGGTCTATAGGCGCCTGAACATGTGAGTGTAATAAAGTATTCGTATGTGATTCATGTTTCACAATTAAAATACTACGCTTATAGAGCACTTCTCCTGTTTGATTTATTTAATGGTCGGCTGCATTCCTGTTCGAGGAATACCTTATTAAGCATCATATATTGGAGGCAAACTGAGAATCCTTTATTCTTGCCCATCACCAAAGAATCGCTGAAGGGGAGATAAGGAGATATCACTGTGAGAGGGTGGTCTCCTATAAGACCAAAAGCGTATCTGACCACCATAACTGGGGTCAAAAGATCTGGTAAGTGAGCAATTTACACTATATTCCTGTGGGAATGAGGTGAACTTTTCAGTCACAATCTTATCTCTGCTCTGGTTTGGGATACAGATATAAGAAGCCGCAGGGATTGTCACTATATCTATGGACTTTTTTCACAATTTTGCACTTTTATGTATTCAGCTGTTATAATGTTTTGTTTTTAGAACAGATTATCAAATTTGGTCGACACAGGGATGTATGCACCGAATTTGAGGGACTAAATATAGGCATTTTTAGCAATATTAATCCCCTATTTACTGTACAGTATATCACTATATTTGGTATGTTTAAATGTAGCGCCTACATATTCTATTCTATTATCATGTTATAGTGAAATGTTCACTTTAATAGGGGTAGCTTCACACTAAATACATTTTTTAGTTTACATTGGCGCCTAAATAATCACCTATATTGATTTGTAATCCCCAACAGGAGGCTTGGCAAGGGGTCAAAATAGCCCTTAAATATGAGATAGCCTGCACAGCATGGAGGAGAATTCAGGTGGAAGATGGAGAAGTAGGCTGGGGTGCAGGAGCCTGGAAGGGGGCCCAGATGGGACGGGGGCTCACCTACAGGCAGAGGAACTGGACAGGAGGAAAACATGCACACTCACAGGTCTCCTGAGAGAGGACCACCTGTGTGGCAGAGGAGGATCAGCCCAGCTGGAGGGCCTGGTAGCAGCCACCGAATCAATAGCAGCACAGGAGAGGGTCAAATGAGTAAACCTACACCCCCTGGACCAGATAGGGGAAGGATAACTGTGGTGGGAAACCAGATTAGCAACCTGCTGGGACTGTCTTTCTTTTAAAGTCTCAGGACTGGATCCCCTGATTTCCTTCAGACAGCCATATTGAGGAATATTTGTGGTCTAGGGAGATGCTGGCTAGTTTTCCAAGACGTTTCTGCATAGACTTGCAAATAGTTCAGGAAGTTTGTCCTCAATTCTCAGTTCCATTGAGCCAAGTTTATTCCCCTAATAAAATAACCAAACAAACAATGCTCAAGGTCTATTTATTGACTCCTGGAGGCAAGTCTGTGAAATGTTGCGTGGCTGTAGGGAGACCTTAATCTTCAGCAACTCTTAAAGGGGTAGTTCTATACACATATGGTGTGAAGGAGGTCTTAAACAAAAGGCATTGGGAGCTGAGCACTGCCCACTTGGTCCAAAAAAAAACCAGTTTGACTGGGAGCAGGAATTTTAATAATGATTAAAGTGAAACTTAAAAAGTGCTGAATTTCTTTAAAAAACATGCCTGGGGATGCCTTAAAATGGAACTAAATTCTAAAAAGAAAGAACTGGGAGCAGAAAGGCTCTCTATTGCAGAAGAGACATGCAGTGCACAGCTGGTTAGGACAAGAGTCACCTGTGCCGGGACCAGCTGGCTATTTATGTACAACAAAGCTGCAGTAAAAATATTTGACACATAGCAGTTGTTCTACATGCACAAGAGCATATGATTTTATGCTCTAAATATACTGTCAGAAGTTAACAGAAAAATGTTTCTAATGTTGTGAATGTACGTGCAGTTAAACTTGTTTACATGCATATAGCGTTTAGAAACATATGAGCGCAATTCATTGTATTGGCTGGAAAACTCCTTCTGGCCAAAGGAATACATTTGCACACATATGCATGAGTTTATGCGTGTTTAGAGCCATTTACATGCGTAAGGGCTCTTCTCTGAATGCAGGTTCAGGGCATTTGTTTACACCCCTGAACACTGCTCTAAAATAAACCCTGAAAATGACACAATGTGCATCTGCATGCATTAAGCACAGCACATTTATCAGACTTGCATTTGCACATTAGATGACATAGAGCTGCTTTCACAGGCAAAAAAACATGAGTCCTAACCACTAGCCTACAGGGCACTTCTACCCCCTTCCTGCCCAGGCCAATTTCCAGCTTTCAGCGCTGTCACACTTTGAATGACAATTGCGCGGTCATGCAACACTGTACCCATATGACATTTTTATCATTTTTTTGTAACAGATAGAGCTTTATTTTGGTGGTATTTAATTACCTCTGCGTTTTTTATTTTTTCTTAAACAAACCAAAAACCACTGAAAATTTTGAAAAAAAAAAAAAAAAACGGTTTTTCTTAGTTTGTGTTATTAAATTTTGTAAATAAGTGATTTTTCTCCTTCACTGATGTGTGCTAATGAAGTTGCAGTGATGGGCACTGATAGGCTGCACTGGTGGACACTGATAGGTGGCACTGATGGGCACTGATGAGGAGGCACTGGTAGGTGACATGATGGGCATTGGTAGGCATCATTGATGGGCACTGAAAGGCAGCACTCATATATGGCACTGATAGGCGGCACTGATAGGTGGCACTGATAGGCGGCACTCACTGGCACTGTTAGGTGGCACTGACTGGCACTGTTAGGTGGCACTGACTGGCACTGTTAGGCAGCACTGAAAGGCAGCTCTGACGGGCACTGATAGGCAGCACTGATGCACACTGCTAGGTGGCACTGACGGGCACTGATAGGCGGCACTGACTGGCACTGATAGGTGGCACTGATTGGCAGCACTGATAGGTGGCACTGACTGGCATTGATAGGTGGCACTGACTGGCATTGATAGGTGGCACTGATGGGTGACACTGAAAGGCAGTTCAGATGGGCACTGATATGTGGCATTGATGTGCACTGGTAGGCACTGATATGTGGCATTGATGGGCACTGGCAGGTGGCACTGCTGGGGCTACACAGATCATCAGGGCACACTGATCATCAGTGCCCTGATGACCAGTGTATATGTCCCCTCTGAGGGATGCCGATTACCGGCTCTGCTCTCCTCTCGAGCTGTCAGCGTGACAGCACATGAGGAGAGAAATGCCAATAACCGGCATTTCCCTATTTACATGCGATCAGCTGTGATTGGACACAGCTGATCACATGACAGAGCTGACATCTTCGGCTCTTTCCATTGATCAGTGATCTGCTGTGTCCGAGGTAAACAGCGCACCACCAATCGCCGCGCTGCGTGCTCCCGGAGCCGTGTGCGGTTAGAATGGGACGATGTCATATGATGTCCTCCCAGAACAAGAGAACTGCCTTGCGCCCATGATTACACTATATGGCGGGCGGGAGGCGGTTAATAATCTCTTTGGCTACATTCAAAAGGCTATAACACAGTCATTAACTTTTTACTGGTGATTAGGCAAGGAAGAAAAGTTACTGCCTAAATAGATCAGTTTTTTAATGCATTAAAATTATCCTGTACCTTTTTTTTGTAAATGGCAAATATTTGGATTCTGTGTTATGGATCTGAATGCGGTGCATGTTACACAGTTGTGTGATTGACTCAGTTGAAAAAAATGAGCTGCATTCAGATCCGTAAATAACAAATGCTTTCAATTGCATTATTTTTACTGCTGTGTGAATGAGGTCTTTATACACAGTTGTAGTACTACCCCCTTGGGAGTCGCTAGAAGATTTGGGTCCCCCTATAGTCCTGCACAGCCAGGCATCACACAACTTCACAAAGGCTTGCATGCAGAGTCAGAAATCAGTCCTTGAACTTTGTTTTTGTTGTTTTTATTTAGGGGATTTGAACTGGGATAGGGTGAGGGGTGTACAAGATGCCCAAGGAAACTGATGAACTGAGGACAACTTCCTGGAACTATTTACAAGTCTTCTCTGCAGCACAGTCTCATTTGGAGTGCTAGCCATCGTCTTCTTAGTGTACAAACCCCAGACCCTAGATTAACTTCTCCTCTTCACTTAGCACTCTTGAGGTGTCCCTAAACAGGGGATCCAGTTCCTGTCACTTTAGAAGATGAAACAGTCAATGGTAGATGGCTAATCTGGTTTTCCTCCAGAGTGCTCCTTCCCCCTATGCGCCCAGGGGGGTGCAGGTGTACTCACTCAGATTCTCTCCTGTACCAATCGTGGGTTGGTTGCTGCTACCAGACTTATCAGCTGGGCTGCTCCTTCCCTGCCACACAGGTGGTCCTCTCTCAAAGGGCCAGTGAGCTCTGAGTTTCCCTCCTTTCCATCTCCAGGCCTGCAGGTAAGCCCCATCTCATGGGACCTCCTCACAGCCTCCTTCCTTCAGTCTCGCATCTTCCTCACTATTTTCCACCTGAACTCTCCTGCAACTGAATAGGCTTCAACAATTTAAGGGTGTCCTGACCCCTTTCCAACCTCCTGGTGGGGATTGGCCAGAATCCTTCAAGAGTGCAACCAGCCACTCCTCAGATCCACCCACTTCCTGTAGAGCCTTCTTCCAAAGCCCTGAGCAGGGCGAAATTCCAGAGGGGCTGGCCTGCAGAGCCTCTCAGCTCCTGACTAAAACTAGCCTTCTGGCTATTACACTCAGCCTTCCTCACTACCAAGTCAACTCTAGCTAAACTAGGAGGGTGCTACAGTTATGTATATTGTTATACAGGATTTATATAGTGCCAACTGTTTGCACAGAGCTTTACAACATGAGGACAGACAGTACAGTTACAATACAAATTCAATACAGAAGGCCCTGCTCATTAGAGTTTACAATCTGAAAGTGTTTCTAATATTATTTAATCATTTATTACTGGGTCCTTGTGAAATCTTTGCTCCATTGTTCTTTTTTAAGTCCTTAAGGGGCTAAGGTGCTCATCCTAGGAATTTTTTGTGATCATCTGTTGTGATTTTTTTCTATATTTCTTTGCTACTGACTTGTTTTGGCTATCGTAAGCCTTTACACATTATTTCGCGGAAACATAAAATATTCTTTGTCTGTGCAGTAAGTTCATTGGGAACAACAAAGTTAAATTATCTAGTTGTTCCCAGGCCATATTAAAAAAGGCTTGCAGATCTTTCAGTATCAGCTTCAATTTCTCATTATAATCTCCCCATGATGTAGCGCAGTCTAATTTCAGAGGAACATTAATGATGTTGTAAAGATCGTTGTAATTAAAAAACCAAGAAGATCTGGTCGATAGCTTAGTCAGAGAAAGCCCGAAGGATATTTCTAGGCTTAATACATATATATTTTTTTATAAGTTGTCATTAGAAAACGCATTGTGAAATTTGAAGTGTCATTTATCTTCTTTTAAAAGCTTCCCATTCAAATACACGATCAAGCATTCTGATATTAGGGTCAGTTTAGCAAGCTGTACGCATAATTTAACCACTTGCCCTCCAGAGGATTTACCTCCCTTCCTGACCAGGCCATTTTATGCATTGGGGCGTTGCGGTATTTTAACTGACAATTACGCGGTCATGCAATGCTGCACCCAAATGAGATTTACGTCTTTTTTTTCCCCAGGAACAGGGCTTTCTTTAGCTGGTATTTGGTCGCCTGTGTGTTTTTTATTTTTTTGCGCTATAAAAAAAAAGGCCAACAATTTTGAGAAAAAAACAATATTTTTGACTTTTTGCTATTAAACATGTCCAGTAAAAAAATATAAAAAATCAAATTTCATCATAAATTTAGGGCAAAATGTATTTTATTACATGTCTTTGCTAAACTTTTTTACTTTCTTTTTGCCGCGGGACTACGGCAGGCATTCTGACATGGGGGGGGGGGGAGAACTGACTTTGGTGTCACTGACATCCCAAGTGACACCAATACAGTGATCGGTGCTAATAAAAAGCACTGACACTGTATTAATGGCACTGGGAAGGAAGGGGTTCACATGTGGGGTGATCAAAGGGTTAACTGTGTGCTGTGTGTGCTTCACTGTAAGTACACTGCTTTGTATGGCTCTGCTATGCAACGCCATGCATAGCAGTGTGTATGAGCTGACAGGGAAGAGAACTGTATTGTTTACTTACAGTTCTCTCCCTCCGTTGGTAATGCTCCTCAATCACCGCGTGCCAGCGAGTAATCACCGGTGATTGACAGCCGAGACTGCGCACGCACCCCCTACCCAGAAATGCAAAACATATACAGGTGAAACTCGAAAAATTTGAATATCGTGCAAAAGTTCATTTATTTCAGTAATGCAACTTAGAAGGTGAAACTAATATATGAGATAGACACATTACATGCAAAGCAAGATAGTTCAAGCCGTGATTTGTCATAATTGTGATGATTATGGCTTACAGCTCATGAAAACCCCAAATCCACAATCTCAGAAAATTAGAATATTGTGAAAAGGTGCAATATTCTCGGCTCAAAGTGTCAGCTCTAATCAGCTAATTAAGCCATAACACCTGCAAAGGGTTCCTGAGCCTTTAAATGGTCTCTCAGTCTGGTTCAGTAGGAATCACAATCATGGGAAAGACTGCTGACCTGACAGTTGTGCAGAAAACCATCACTGACACCCACCATAAGGAGGGAAATCCTTAAAAGGTAATTGCAAAAGAAGTTGGATGTTCCCAAAGTGCTGTATCAAAGCACATTAATAGAAAGTTATGTGGAAGGGAAAAGTGTGGAAGAAAAAGGTGCACAAGCAGCAGGGATGACCGCAGCCTGGAGAGGATTGTCAGGAAAAGGCCATTCAAAAGTGTTGGGGACTTTCACAAGGAGTGGACTGAGGCTGGAGTCAGTGCATCAAGAGCCACCACACACAGACGGATTCTGGACATGAGCTTCAAATGTTGTATTCCTCTTATCAAGCTGCTCCTGAACAACAAACAACGTCAGAAGCGTCTTACCTGGGCTAAAAAATACAGACCTGGTTTGTTGCTCAGTGGTCCAAAGTCCTCTTTCTGGATGAGAGCAACTTTTGCATCTCATTTGGAAACCAAGGACCCAGAGTATGGAGGAAGAATGGAGAAGCACACACTGCAAGATGCTTGAAGTCCAGTGTGAAGTTTCCACAGTCTGTGCTGATTTGGGGAGCCATGTCATCTGCTGGTGTTGGTCCACTGTGCTTCATTAAGTCCAGGGTCAACACAGCTGTCTACCAGGAGATTTTGGAGCACTTCATGCTTCCTTCCGCAGACGAGCTTTATGGGGATGCTGACTTCATTTTCTTTATGGGGATGCTGACTTGGCATCTGCCCACACTGCCAAAAGCACCAAAACCTGGTTCAATGACCGTGGGATTACTGTGCTTGATTGGCCAGCAAACTCGCCTGACCTGAACCCCATAGAGAATCTATGGGGCATTGCCAAAAGAAAGATGAGAGACATGAGACCAAACAATGCAGAAGAGCTGAAGGCCGCTATTGAAGCATCCTGGTCTTCCATAACACCTCAGCAGTGCCACAGGCTGATAGCTTCCATGCCATCCTGCATTGAGGCAGTAATTGCTGCAAAAGGGGCCCAAACCAAGTACTGAGTACATATGCATGCTTATACTTTTCAGAGGTCTAATATTGTTCTATGTACAATCCTTGTTTTATTGATTGCATGTAATATTCTAATTTTCTGAGATTGTGGATTTGGGGTTTTCATGAGCTGTAAGCCATAATCATCACAATTATGACAAATCACGGCTTGAACTATCTTGCTTTGCATGTAATGAGTCTATCTCATATATTAGATTCACCTTTTTAATTGCATTACTGAAATAAATGAACTTTTGCACGATAGTCAAATTTTTCGAGTTTCGCCTGTATATTACTGCTATATGGTGGACGGGAAGGGGCTGTGTTTATTATTTACCTCACAATTCTCCCATCAAAATGTTTAAGTCAAAAACATAAATATCACATAGGTATTGAGCTGACCCCTAATATTTTTACATGAAATGATATTTAACATTTCATAGCCTCTATTTCTCATTAATCAGTATTTTATTTCCACTGCAAATGCCTATTTTATTAGGCATCTCATAGACTTGCCAGAGTCAGAAGCAAACTAAGAACGAGCAAGTCCAGAGACAGTAGACAAAAATGCTGCCTGGTGTGGGGGATAAAACACATGAGGAGAGGCTGAGGGAATGTAGAGCATAATTCTGGGGAAAAAAATCTCCCTTGCTCCACACAGCAAGCATTAAATTCCCATCTAGAGGGAACATTAAAAGTAACTCTATATATGTTATTCCTTCATCTGCATGTC